GGCCGGACCCTCGCCCTCGGGGCCGGGACTCACTGCAGCCTGAGAGGGGTGCTCCCGCCATGGGCCCCGAACCTCTTCGCAAGCTGACCCCTCCCAGAGCACCTGCGTCATCCCCTCCCACGTCCAGTCCTGGGGGTCTCCGCGTCTTTCACCTGCTGTGAAAGGTCCTCTGTCCCCCGGACTCCCCAGCTCTGCCTGAGGCTTCCTTCCCCTGTGGCCTGAGAGGGGCCCCGCCCCACGGCCGAGGCTCGTAGGCCCTCAAGTCTCGCTTCTGGGCTCCCGGCCTCCTCCGCTGCAGACTCTCCCTGCACCTACCCAGGGCGAGCCCACTGGGCCAGGCCAGACGCTCCCCGAGCCCAGCCCACTGCAGCCCCCCATCAAGGCTAACACCGCTGACAGCCACAGCCCCGCTCCATGTGCCGGACCTCGGGGGGCCTCACCCGAGTTCAGCTCACAGTGAGGGGCTCAGGGTTCTTGCTACCCCCAGGCCTCCGGGGCCCCCTTCTCAGAATCCCAAGACACGGCTACGTGTCCCCCGGCCCCCATTTCTCAGAGACGGCCTGGGACACTCGTGCTGACCCACCAGGGCCACTGAAGCCTGGCCCGCCATGCTGTCAAAGCTTGTGAAATCAACTGCAGCGTGACAGGCTCACTTGGGCGCCCTAAAAAGAGGCTGCACCCTAACTCACCGTACCTTGCATCTGACCTAATTTGGAGATGGGTCTTTGCAGATCAAATTAAGGTGAGGCACTAGGGAGGTCCTAATCCACTAGGGCTGCCCCAACTGAAGAGAGGTGGACAGAGACGTGAGCCAGACTCGCGTGAGGCAGAGGCCAGAGCCCGGTAAAGCCGCACGCGGCCAGCGCTGCCCATGCAGCCGGGGACACGGGAGCCAGGCGAGGCTGCCCTTTCCTCCCTCGGCCCTGCGCTCCCCGCCAGGCCCAGCACACGGAGGGGCCTCTGGTTGACCTTGATGGGGAGCTGGGCTCCTCGCAGCCTGCAGGAGGAACCGGGCATTTGGGTCTTGGGAGTTCAGCTCCAGGTCCCGGGAGACCCTCAGAGTCGCCCCCACCACCAGCACACTTGTTTCAAGCTACCAGCAACCAAAGCTAACCTGACCTTTCACGGTGAGCTCACTGAACCCCCACACCACTACAGAAGCTACTGGCACCCTCACTTACAGATGAAACTCAAAAGGGGCCTGTGGAGATAGAGGGCCTTGCTCAAGGCCGCCCAGATAGTAAGCTGCAGAGCGAGCTCAA